CTAATCACCAGGGAAATGCAAATCAAAACCACAACACAATATCATCTTGCACTGTCAGAATAATCATCATAAAAAAGGAGAAATAACAAAAGCTGGCAAGTCTCCTGAGAAAAGGATCCCTTCTGCACTGTTAGTAGGAATTTAAACTGCTGCAAACACCATCCATAGAAATCAGTGTGGGGACCGGGAGATAGTACATAGGTGAAGGTGAACGCCTAGCTTGTGCCTCATTTAGATTCAATTTCTGACATCACGTGATCCCCTAGCATTGGCGAGTGTTCTTCCAGCACCACTACGTGAGGTCTTAAAGATCCTGATACTACCAGGGTAGCCAGGATATCCCCACCTAGTAACATCACATTTTCAGTCCTTGCACTGAAGCAATTAACCAAGAATCACCAGTGGGGGGTCTCATGTCTCCTGAACATTGCTTGGGAACCTCCTATACACAAGATAAAGATTAAAGATAAAGGCCCTCCCCTTAATCGTCGACTTGCTCGAGCGGGCCCAGTAACGTCTCCATTGGAGACTTTGTTGTTACTGTGTCTGGCATATTGAATACTCTCGGTAGCTTGCCGGGCTCTCCGAGAGGGGCGGAGGAATCGAACTCGGCCGCGTGTAAGGCAAACGCCCTACCCGCTGTGTTATCGCTCCAGCCCTATACACAAAATATAAATAAATGAAGGAGAAGGAGGAGAAAGAGGAAGGGGAGGAAGAGAGGGAGGAGGAAGAAGAGAAGGAGGAGGAGGGCAAGGACGAGGACGAGGAGGAGAAGGACGACGACGACAATCAGTGATGAGTTTCTTCAAAAATTTTAAAATAAGGAGCTGGAGCAAGTAGGGTATTTGCCTTATCTAACTGACCCAGGTTTGATTCCTGACACCCCATATGGTCCCCCAAATACCTACAGAAGTAATTCCTGAGGGCAGGGCCAGGAAGTAACCCCTGAGCATTGCTGGATATTACCCCAAAAGCCCATTTTTTTCCTTAAATAGAACTGCCATATTATTCAAAGTCTAATCATGGCTATTTATCCAAAGGGGGGGGAAAGCATTAAGTAAAAAAGACACAGGTACCTCCATGCTTGTTGCAGCATTATTTGCAGTAGTAGAGATAGGGAAAAACCTAAATAGCATGAAAAACTAAATAGGTCCATAGATGGATGAGGGAAAATAAATACAGAAAATAAATACAGGTTTTGAATCCTGTCCTTCCCATTCCAGCCAGCTCTGTGACCCCAAGTCCCGCATTTGCACACATCGGGGAACCACTGCAGCCCTGCCCTCCATACTGCAGCCACCCCTTATATAACCCCCGGGCTGGGGTCTTCTGTAAATTAAATCAGGTGTGCTAAGTGGTCCCACTGGCCACACTGACACCCAGAACCAAGCAGGTGCATTATTCCTCCCATCTCACAAACTCTAAGGGCTGCTGAGGTTCTATATTCGGTAATAAAATACCTCCATAATAACTCTGATATCTAAACTGGAAGAATCAGACCTACCCCTGTCTGTCCCACTGAAATATCATTTCAGGGTCATGGAAATAGAATAACAGGTAATATACAGTAGTTCTTTGCCTAAAATATCAAATTAGATCAGTATTCAAATAATTTGGAATCTAAAGCTCAACTGTTAGGACCCACAAAATTCTAAGAACAACAAGGGAAACAAAAGAATTCAGCTGCACTGATAGACAGGGTCAGGAGTTCAGGCAAGTCCTTGAGTTCAACAAAAATCTTGAGCTTTTAGCCACGTAGAAAAGGACCTCAAATCAACACTACATACAATAACCACAGAAATTAAGCAATCACTGGAAAGTAAATTCGATTTAGCTTAACAAAGAATTGATTCAGATTATGAAAGAGGTCATACAAATGGAATCACAGAAGTTCAAGAATACAATAGCAAGCCTTAGCAACAGAATTCTGAATGTGAAGAACATATCTGTGACAAAATACAAGCTGACAGCAATAATAAAGTAGTAAAATAGAAAAGAAGTAAAAGAATGGAAGTGAATGTAAGATTGTAGATTATAAGAATAATCTTACATTATAGCAAGTATAGCCAGTGGAATAACTCAGAATCATAGGAATGCCATCAGGAGAGGAAAAAAGAGAAAGAGGAGAACAAAGAACAACTGATGAAAGGAAAAATAACTGTGAACTTCCTCAGTCTCTGGAGGGAAGCCTCGGCACAGCCTCAAGAGTACCAAACAAAATAGACTCAAGAGAAACAACACCAAAACACATCGTAATCAAAACAGTAAAAACCAAAAAGAGAAATAGACTACTTAAAACATCAAGAGAGAAGAAAAACCTCAACTCAAGGAAAATAATGTAAGAATCACAATAGATATCCCACAATTCTATACAAGCAAGAAAAAAGTGGAATGGTATATTCAAAGAACTGAATAAGAAAAATCAACCTAGAGTCCACTACCCTGCAAAGTTATGATTCAGATTTGAGGGAAGGATAAAAACCTTTCCAGACAAACAAAAGCTGAGCACATTGGTTACAACTAAACCACGCCTGCAAGAATGACTAAAGGAGACCCAACTGAATGTAAGAAAATATTTGTACTCAACACATCAGAAAAAGGGTTAATATGCAAGATCTATAATCACAAAGACTGAAAACAACAACAACAAATTCAAAAAACCCTATAAAAATGGAGAGAGGAAATGCACAGATATTTCTCTGAAAAAGACAAGGGGCCATTAGGCACATGATAAAGTGCTCATCTCACTAATTATTAGATAAATCCAAATCAAGATGACAAGGAGATATTATCTCACAACAGCAAGAATGGCACCTATCAAAAACAAATCTGTGAACAATCTGTGTGGGTGGGGATGTGATGAGAAAGGAACTCTCATCCACTGCAGGTGGGAATGTTATCCAGCTCAACCCCTAGAAAAAACAATTAAAAAATTTCTTAGACAAGAACTGATATGGTGTAGCATCTCACTTCTCATTGCCTACCTCCCAGGACACAAAAAATTTCATTCAAAAGGATGTATGGTCACCACTAATTTATGCAGCACTTAGTTAAAAGCCTGTGGGAATTTTCCCATTCAGTCAACTTCCCCACAATTCCTTCTATGTTGTGTCAGTGAAGCACATCACATTGGATTGTGACTGCACCAACAGATCATCTCCAGGAGATCCTTCAAGGTCCCAACCCAAAGTCTGATTTTTAACTGCCTCATTATCTAGGATCTGTTTACAACTTCCCACCTCCTGCCACCCAACCCTGCTCCCTGCCCCCATCTCACCGCCAGGAAGGACTTGAGAAAGCCTTTGGGATCTATTTGCAAAATGTTCCCCAGGAAGGGAAGAGGTCGAGGTCCAGGAGGAAGACAGCCCCTGGAGGTAGGGTGACTCCAGAGAAGCAAGAGACCAAGGAGGAGGAGCAGGAGGAACAGGACAGCCGAGAGCACCATCGTCTCCAGTGTGCCTGTCTCTCTCCTTTCCGTCCCTAGAAGCAGGATTCTCTATTGGTTGTTTGTGTATTATTTCTGTGGTGGCTGGAGAGTTGCCAATGATCTACCTTGGCAGAACTCCTGGTAACTCTCCAGAGGCATTTGGGAGTCCAAAAGCACCAGGTGCTACAGAAGCCAAGAGGGTTTTTTTTTTTAATCACTTGAGGTTGTGTTCCAAAGGACCACTCATAATGAGTGCTACAGTGGAGAGCACGTACCTGGAGCAAGAATACAACAACTTAAGGTACAGCAAGGGTACAGAACTTGCCTTGTATGCCACTAACCCAGGTTTGATACTCCACATCAGGCCCACTGAGCACTGCCAGGAGTGATCCCTGAGCACTGTGCCAGGAGTAAGCCCCGAGCACAGCTGGTAGAAGTAAAGCAAACAAAGAAGCCCACAGAGGGAAGCTGACACTGGTGGAGAACAGTAGAACACTAGGAGGTAGAGTTTTGGGTGGTTCCACTGCCAAGGTGGCTCTCAGCCAGTTTGTGGCATGAGCAATTCAGATAGCTGACAGGCACAGCGTGTGCCATTGGGGGATAGAAATTATTCTTGGCATCCAAAGAAAGTGAGATGTAGAGGAGGTAGAGTCTGATGGGGCTAAATTGGCCTTCCTGTAGGGCTGATCTGGAGATTGAATGATTGAACTGTTTCTCAGCCAATACTTTGACCTTTATTTATTCACTTTTATTTTTTGCTTTTTGGGTCACAACCAGAATCACTCCTGGAGGTGCTTGGGGGACCATATGGGATTCTGGGAATCGAACCCAGGTCGGCCGTGTGCAAGGCAAATGCCCTACCAGCTGTGCTATTGCTCCAGCCCCTACTTTGTCCTTTAAACACCTGTCATGTGCTACAAACTATTCCGGGAATCAAGAGCACAGGAAAAAGCAACATCGGAAGTATGCCTTCATGGATTAGTTTGGGGTCAGACAGATAGCACAAGGGTACAGTACTTGCCTTGTATGCTGCTAATCCAGGTTTGATACTCCACATCAGACCCACTGAGCACTACCAGGAATGATCCCTGAGCACTGTGCCAGGAGTAAGCCCTAAGCACAGACAGTAGAAGTAAAGCAAACAAAGAAGCCCACAGAGGGAAGCTGACACTGACGAAGGGTGTGGCGGTAGAATGTGCTATGCAGGAAACTCTGCTGTATATATGACACGCAAAATAAAATAGACCATAGAACTGGTCTTGAGGTAAAGGAGAAGTTTGAAAAGACCTTGTGGATCCTGATGATGCAAGTCACAACTGACATACAATGGTTTCCCAACTCATCAAGGATGACGGTCTTGGGAGCTTATTGAATCCCATGGGCTAACAGGGAGTTCAAGATGCCAGTTTAGAATTACACATGTTGATGGGCTGTGGATTGAGGGTGCTCTTTCATCAAGGGGAGGGGCAGCGAGAGGAAGTATGTATGAGAATGGAGCTTGGGGTGGAGGTAGGATACAACCATGGTACACAGTGTGGAAGAGCCTTGAAAATATTATGCCAAGACAAGGAAGACAAACACCAAGATCACATATTTTATGTTTCCATTTCTAGGAAATATCCAGAAGAGCCCATCCACTGTGACAGAAAGCAAATTAGCGCTGGCTAGGGGACTGAGACAATGGGGAGAGATTGTTGATGGAGAAAGGATTTTCTTCTGTGGTGACAAAGTAGCGTGATAGTGTCTGTCAAACAGGTAAGTGAATTAAATACTACTAAGTAGATCCATTTCACAATGATTCATGTTATGTTATGTGAATGTCATATTCTTTGTAAAATATAAGTGCAAAAAGGGGAGTTGAGAGAGTGATTGGGAGGAATTTGAGTTCCAGAGCTAGGTGAATAGAGTCATTTTTTTCACTCCTCGACTCTCTAACCACGTGATTCTCCCCCCCCCCGCCCCCAAACAATACTTCATGGTCCAAACTCTGTTTACTTGTCCATGAAAGGGTGTGTTCATCATACATGATTGTCGTTGGAAAGAGGATAGAGATGGGATCATGTAAATGCAGATCGTGGAGTGTAAGGAACGGATATATAGAGACTGAATGATTCAAGGGAGAAGTCATTAGAGGAGCTGTGAACCGGGGGATGGGCACAGAACTGCAGGCATCTAGAGCCAAATTTCTTATGGTTAGCCTTGTTTCACTCTATGCACTCATTCTGGAATTCTGTTAACAGAGGAAAGGAATGCATCTTTCTAATTCCACATAGGAGCCAAACGATGAATCTGCATGAGGAAGGAATTCCTCATGGAGGCAGCCACGGAGGAGGGAGAAAGATACTGGCTTGTAGTGAGATCTCTGAAGAAGGAAGACATGGAGAGAGGCAGGGGACACTTTTTGCAGAAGGAAGGACCCTAATCCCAGCCCTCTTGGAGCCCCTTTCCTCAGTCTCCTCAGCGGGGCAGGAAGCGGATCTTGTATATTGGGGGCAGTTTGCCCACACCACACTCCATGGGGGTGAGGTCGATGTCCTCAGGGGCCATGTTGGTAGCCAGAGTGAAGTTCTGCAGGATGGTGGTGAAGAAGAGGAATAATTCTGCACGGGCGATGCCTTCTCCAAGACAAATACGCTTCCCTGTGGGCACAGAGGGTCAATGATGTAGGCAAGGGGGCAACACACATGCTCTGCTTCTGAAAATACGAACTTTGTGGCTGCTGCAACAGATTCATCTGGGGTTGCTCTCTCCTGCAGCCCTGAAATCAGGTGTGACCTCTGGATAGCTTTGCCACATACATTTCCCCAGGAGAATATGTGTAGTTTCCTTAAGATTCTGAAGGGTTCGATGTTTCTTAGGGTATAAAGACTCCTAGCTGAACATTGGTGCAAGTGCACCTGTGTGTATGGCCCCATTCACACGTGGGGCTGTGTGTTTATTAAGGACTTAGTACTTTAGTGTTCTTCCTTTCTAATGTAGAAGACTATACCTACCTTAAAAAGATATTGTGAGGTTAAGTAGTCAACACTGTTAAAGATTCTTAGAATAACACAGACCCAGGGGTCAGAGTGATAGTATAGGGGGTAAGGCACTTGTCTTGTTTGTAGCTGACCTGGGTTCAAACCCCAGCACCATATATGATCCCTGAGCCCTGCTGGATGTGATCCCTAAGCACAGAGCCAGGAGAAAACCTTGAGCACTTCCAGGTGTGTCCCCAAAGCAAAAAATAAAATAGAAATAATGACACTGGCTTGGGTGGGATGAAGAATCCTGGAGGTGTACTTGTTGTGTGTTTGTCTCTAGCTATAGAAAGGGCATGTTGCTAACACTAGGTCTGACACTAATTTGTATCTGGGTTGGCTCCTGCTCAGTCCCAGAGACACATGCTTCAAAGTTCTAAAACAACAAAAACAAAAATAAACAAACAAAACAAAAACAAAAACAAACAAAAAACCCCTCAAATGTGGCAGAGAATTTTGGCAGCAGACTACAACTTCTGTTAGATTCTCTGAGGTGGAAAGGAAACTTTCCCCACACAGTAGATGTGGAGAGCAAGGAGCATAAAGGGTGACTTTTACCTTTATTCCTACTTTACTTTATAAACTGATGACCTGGGGGGAAGGCCTTTCAAATATGGGAGTCCAGACTTTGTCTAGGTATTTCAGAGCTTTGGATGCTGTGAGCCTATGTGGAGGCATTGTGCAGACTCTGGGGCTTTCCTCTTGGACACTCCTCTAGTATCTCCTTGAGTCTAACACATTTGTCTTGATTTATCTTTCTGCCCAAGACCAGCCTGATGCCCCCACCCTTCTCTGTCTGTATCTGCTACAGGATACTCCCTCCACACTCTCTTCTTTGTTTTCTTCCAACTGGCTTCTTGTTTTAGTCTATCTGGATCTGATTCTGCCTGCAACTCTCTCTGTCCCTCTCTCCCTCTCTCACTTTCTCTCTCTCTGTTGATCTGTGTACATTCTATCTCTTCTAACCTTATTTCCAACCCCTTCTCTCCATATGTTTCTCTGCCCTCTTGTTCACATTTTCTGTCTCTCTCGGTCCTTAATTTTCCCTCTGCCTCCCTATGAAAATGGTAGGAAGGACTCCACTCCTGTTCCAACATGCTCTTCCTTCACTCTCATGCAAGATCAAATGAGGGAGGCAGCCACAGCACTAGGCAGACCCCGGGGCCCTGAGTCATTGACATGACTGATGAAATCTAAAGACTTGTTTAATGGCCTTCCTTTCTCCTAAAGGATGAGATTCCTGGGCAGTAGGGTTTCCAATGTATGGGGCTAGGAATGGAGAATGGACACGAAGAAAAGTTAAAAAGCTAACTTTTAAATTTGGGGCACATTCAGTATTACTCAAGGACTCTGTTGAGATCCTGCAGAGCCCCAATACGCTGGCATATTTCTCTGATGCACCAGGCTGTCCCCACCTTCAGGCTTTGCCCTGCTGTTCTCTGTCGACCGTGCTCTTTCCAGTGGCTGATGGCATCCGCTCTCATATTTAGCCAAGAGTTTCAATTCAGGGAAGCTTTACCTCACTGGTTTTCTGATTGCTCCCAAAGTCCCTGAAGTCCCTTTCCACAATCATTATTCCTTAGAGCAAAAGTAACTGTCCCTCCAAGCAATTGATTTGTGTGCACCTGTTCGAAACACACTTCAACCATTCATTTCTTTAATGAGAACATTCTTTTGATGCCAGATAATAAATGTCTATCCTCTCTGCTAGACTGTAAAAGTCCTGGGAAAAGACCTATACAGCTCTTGGACACTGTCCAGTACATTGGCTTTAACTTCCGATAGAGTACTGGTCTCAGAGTAATATTCAGTGGATACTGTATACTGCAGTGTCAACAGTTTGAAATGCATTCCCTGGTCTATAAGTCATACCTTTGGGGTATAATCTCACTTCTCAAGTTCCCTCCAGGTTGTAGAAGATGAGAGGGATAGTGTCAGTAAAGTGGCACTAATTGCTACTGCTACTAACTGATAATAACTGCTCAATAAACAAAGGCCTCGGCTTGATTATCTCAAGATGACTGGGCACCCTGGTATCTAGGATCTAGAGCATGGTCCATCTTACCTATAGAAAAGGGCATGAAAGCGTCATTCTTCTTCAAAGTCCCATTGGCATCCAGAAAATGGTCAGGGTTGAAGGTTTCTGGTTTCTTGAAGTATTGTGGGTCATTGAGAGCAGAGTTCAGGATGGGAAATACTTCAGTACCCTGAGGGAAGGTCACATGATCAAAAGATAATGTTATCCTGTCCCTCATTTCGTGCTTGGGGGTGCAAAAACATCTTCATGATAAAGCTGGCCAGGAATGACCCTTGAGCTCAGATCCAGGAGTCAGCCCTTGAGCACTGCCAGGTGTAGCCTCAAATCAAACCAAACTAAACAAAACAAGCAACACTGACAAGGACTAACTTTGGTATGAAGGACTTAATTTGGGAAAGTAAGAGAGCCCAGGATGACCACATAGGAGATTCAGGACCCCAGGCAAACCTCACCTTTGGGATGATGTACCCTCGGAAGTGTGTATCTTTGGTTACAATGTGCGGTACTCCGATGGGGAGGAGGTCCCCGAATCTCTGAATCTCATGGATGACGGCATCGGTGTATGGCATGTTGGCTCGGTCATTGAGGGCGGGAGTACGGTGTGAGCCAATCACTCGATCAATCTCCTTCTGGACTCTCTCTGCATGCAGAGCAGGAGCCAATGAGTCACATTTTAAAGAGGCATTTCAGCAAGGTAATTGTCCTCTGGCAGTTTTTAATAGCTTCACAGTGGTAGGGTGTTTGCCTTGCGCACAGCCAGCCCAGCTGAGCTTGGTTTGATTCCTCCGCCTCTCTCGGAGAGACTGGCAAGCTACCAAGAGTATCTTGCCTGCATGGCAGAGCCTGGAAAGCTATCTGTGACATACTCAATATGCCAAACACAGTAACAACAAGTCTCAAAATGGAGACGTTACTGGGCCCGCTCGAGCAAATCGATGAATGATGGGAGGACAGTGCTACAGTGCTACATGCACCACTGAACCAGAAAAACTCTTAGCTTACATCCTGGTTGACTTCCTTGGCAGCCAGCTTGGTACAGAGGCAGCAGTGGGGGGGGGGGGGGGGAAGCAGCAAGAATTCTCACCCTATGAAACCTAATGAGTGTTACATGTTTTCTTCTCACATGCACAGATAATACATGTGTATGACATGTACTCTCCATTTTTTCACAGAATTTCAGATTAAGAATTTAAAACCATGAACCTCCAAAAACTTCTCTTTAAAATGAGTAGAAAGGGATCTATTGTGTTTATATTGTAGATAAGGTACTGTCATCAGGAATATAATAATGAAAGGTGCCTATAGATTAATACATAAACAATTTGATAAATAAGTGAATAAATAGAAATACACTTATGTATGGAAAGATTAGTGAAAGAGGGCCAGGAGATAGATTAATGATCTGAGCATATCTTATATATAGAAAGATTAGTAAACAGGGGTCAGAGAGAAAGATTAATGATATGAGCATATACTATGTATGTGGGATGCCTAATTAAATGCCTGGCACCTACAGAATTCCTGAGTCCTGCTGGATATGACTTTGAGCACAGATCCAGGAGTAGTCCCTGAGTAACACTGAATGTGGCCCAAATGAAAAATATATCAATTTCAAATCAATAGATAAATATACATACTTAGCAATCAAAAGGTGAGTTAAAGAGATAACAACATGAGTTCAATCAAATAATAAATCTTATAAATGATTTACTTATGAGAGGAATACAGTGAAAAACAACTAATTAGTAAAAGTAATTAGTAAATTAAGGATACTTCATGAATGAATTGAATGATCAATGACTAGAGCAATGATTCACAAATGAGTGAGTTGTGAAATGCAAAATGAAGAAAGAGATGAAGTGAAATATGGGTGGAATAAGTAAGAAGTGAAAGGTGGAAGGAATAAGGGGTAAACCTTAATCATAGGAGAGACAACATTTGGCTGGATCAATAACACATTGCTCATTCATGAAACATTAGTTGACAAATCCTGTAATCCAAACAAATGAGTGGAAGCCTATAACTTTGAATAACCCATAGATGACAGAATCAAGGGGCAGAGAGGTAAGTTAATGACCAAAAAAATGATCTACAGGGGCCAGTGGGTACAGTGGGTAGGGTGCTTGCTTTGTATGCTGCTGACCCCGGTTCTATTCATGGCATCCCATATGGTCCCCCAGACCTGACAGCAGTGATATCTTAGTGCAGAGTTGGGAATAAACCTGTGCACCAGTGGGTGTGACCCCAAAATAACAAACCTACTCACACACACACCACCTATACAAAAGAGTGAGCAGATGGATGGAGGTTGTATAAAAGGAGGGAAGAAGGAAACAAAGATAAGTTGATTTTTAAGTAATGGAAGTAAAAAGTGGGAGAACATCAACATCCATCTTCTCAGAACTGTGAGATGTTTGGAGGCTTGTTCAGAACCTGCAGTGCTCCTAGTCAGAGAGATACATGTCTCATTCTTGCAGTACCTCATAGTCTTACTTCTACAGCTCAAAGAGAGGTCAGAGGACCAACCTTCATTAGTGGCCCCCATTCTGCCCACCTCTGATGTGTGGGTATTTGAGCATGAGCAGGAATCCATAGCGGAGAGTGGTGCTAGTGGTCTCCGTGCCAGCGAAGAAGAGCGAGAGTGTAGTGATAATGAGGTTCTTGTGATGGAATTCAGTATTGGGGTCAGACTTCTCCTGCGTCCAGAGAAAAAAGTTTTAGTCAGGGGAACCTGGAGCCTCATGTGTACACACAAACATCTCTGGGAATCCCCATCTGTCCCTTGTCTGACAGCATCTCACCCATTTTTCTCTATTCTGTGTGTCTGAGTCTCTCTTGGGTTCTGTTTTAGCCTTTCTCCCTCTTTGGTGTGTTTGTTTTCTTTCTCTTCAAGCCCCTCTTTCTCCTCTGAGGGTCCCTCCACCAACTCAACAGTTGTTCTTTTACCCCTTGTTCTGTATTCTCTTTCTCTCTATTTTTTAGTTTTATTTTGTATTACTTTGGGGACACATCCAGCAATGCTCAGGGGGTAACTCCTGACTCTGCACTCAGGAATTACTCATGGCAGTGCTCAAGGATCATATGGGATTTTGGGGATTGAACCTGGGTTGGCTGCATGTAAGGCAAGCACCCTACCCACTGTACTATATCTCTGATCTCTCTCTCCTTTCTCTCTCTCTCTCTCTTCTCCCCCTGATATCCTACTACTCTCCCTTTCTCTAATCTCCCCTAACCATCCCATGTTCTTCCATACTGCTCCTCCCCAGCCTTGCACTTGATTCCCTTCCCTTCTCACCCATCTTTTCCTCCCTTCCCTCCCATCCCTCTCCGCACTTTGTCCATGCGTATCAGGTAGGTATCGATGAAGTCGCGGGGAGCCGTGCAGTCCAGAGTCTCGCGGTGCTTCTCCACACTGTGGCCAATGAAGTCATTGATTTCCTGAAGGTTTCTAAAGATCTGCCTGTGTGAGCCAGGGAAGTACTTCAAGAAGCCAGAGAAGAGCTCAAACACCTGTGGGGAGAGATAATCTAGAGCCTTCTGTGTCTGAGATAGCAAGTCACAGGGGGGAGTAGACCTTTTGGTCCCAACACTTTTCCAGGATCTCTGCCCCTGAGTCTTTCACTGTACCCCTCTGCCTCTCTATTTCTCTCCATATCTCTCTTTCCCTTTGACACTGGTTTCATCTCCTTCTTGTATTTCCCCTCTTTCCTAATCTTCCATGCTCATCCTGTGTATTTTCATGGTTCTCCACCTTGAGCTTCTTTCTTTTTCTCATATCTGTATGTCTCACTTTCTGGTCATCTTGCTGTGTGTCTGCTGCCTCTATTAGGCACTTGACCTATTTAAGCATGAAAATCTTACTCTTTTTTTCTGTATTTTTGGGTCACAGCTAGTGATGCTCAGAGATTACTCCTGAATTTTCACTCAGGAATTACTCCTGGCAGTGTTTGGGGGACTATATGGGATGCTGGAGATTGAGCCAGTGTCAGCTGTGTGCAAGGCAAACAGCCTCCCCACTGCGCTATCCCTCCAGCCCCAAAAGTTTCACTCTTGAACTCTTTCTTTTCCACTCTCTCAAGAACATTTTCTCTCATCTTCTTCCCTTTGTTTCATCCTTCTTTCTTTACCTTCCAAGCCTTCATCTCATTGTCTGTCTGTCTCGCTGATTTTCTCTTCCCACCTCACCACTTCACCCTGTCATTTGCTTGGTCTCTCACCCGATCTCACCATCTTCCTTGCCTCTGGTTTCTGCACCCCTCCTTCTCCTATTTGTCTGTGATCCTTGCCTTCTTCCAGCCCTCTACTGAATTCTACAGTCCAAGCAGAACTTCCCCAACCCTTGCCCTGGGTGTCCACCTCATTCCCACTCCCCCTCCCTTCTCCCAACCTGGCTGGAGAAGGAGCTGATGAGGGCGAAGGTTTGGAAGAACAGATCCAGCAGGCGTAGGAACTGGGGATCTCGGTAGGAGAAACGTTCCCCGAAGACGATGGAGCAGATGATGTTGGCAGTGATGGAGTGGAAGAAGAAGGTGGGATCCTGGAGGGCTCCTGGGAGGAAAGGTACACAGGTTCCTGGACACTCACTCAAAGGCCTAGGGATCCCAGGCTTCTGCTCACTACTTTGTCACTGTCCTGTTTTTCCCAGTGAAGGGTCAGAAAACAGCACAAAAACAGGGACACTCAGGAGCCCATGTTATGTGTGAGACCATCTCCAATAAGTGTCATATCTAGTCCCTTCTCATCCTCACCACATCTGTGAAGAAGGCGCCAGGCTGCTGGTACGCCCATTGCACAGATGTGCACCAGAGCTCTCAGCATCCTCCTGCCTTGGAAGCAATTGAGGTGTTACACAGCTGCTTATCACTGGAGACCGACTGCAGATTTGGCAGTCAATAATTAGCAGTAGTGTCCTGGATCTCCAGCTGGTGCCTCTGCTCTGGCTCTGGGAGCTGGAAGAATGAAGTCTCAAGGGTGGGAATATAGTTTTCCAATGATCATGTTCAATCTATTTTATTATTGATTTGGAGCCACAGCCAGCAGGGCTCAGGGCTGACTCCTGGCTCTATACTCAGGAATCACTCCTGCCTATGGGATTCCAGAGATAGAACCCAGGTCATTCATGTGCAAAGTAAGTGCTCTATATACTGTGTTATGATTTTGGCCCCTGTCATGCTCAATCTTTAAAAACACAGCTCTCCTCGAACCTTAACTATCACACACCTTCCCTCTGTCTCTCCACCTTTGGGATTGTGGGTCTTCAGGGAACAGAGCTTCCCTTGTTGACTGATGTCAGCTCACTCCAGCCAGGCTCATATGGGAACAGAGGGCACTGTGAGCCCAGAAAGCAAAGGAGGTGCAGCCTCACACCTGGGTTTCCCCTGTTCCCCAGCAATGTCTTTTCTGTCTCTGTCTTCAGTGTCCTTAACTTTTCTGCTTTTCCTCTCCCCTGGACTCTGCAAATCCTTATCTTTGGTTCTTCCATTTCTGTCTTTTCTTTTCTGTCTCTGAGCACATTGCCTCTAGCTCTTTCTGTACCTATTCCTCTTACTCCAGTGTTTCTGCCTCTCCAGTCCCTTCACACTCTGTGCTGATCTCCTCAAGTTGCCAGGGAAAAGGACCACGTGACCTCTGTGGCTCAAGAATACTCATTTGGGGAGAATCCAAAAGCCGCTGGAAGTACTCCTTGTACTGGATGGCCCCTTCCACTGCTCTCTGTACTCACTACGCTTTTTCCCAGAAAGAAAAACCCACATCATGTCTCTGCTTTTCTTCCTTTCTCTCTGGAAGTTTTCTTTGAAGTCCTATTTCTGCTTCCCATAGATGTAATTTAACAATGAGCTGGTGTGCCTGAGCAAAGTAGGGAGTGAACTAACATCTAAGCTTACGTCTTAGCACCATCAGCACCACCTCTTCTGGATTGCTTGGTCCTCTCCAACTTTCTCTCTGTCCCCAGGTCTGGCAATCTCTGAGATCAGTCCTTGTCTCATTACTTCCCTTCATTGACAACTACACTTCTCTTTATTTTACTATGCACCCTGCATATATCTCTGTGTTTGTATCTCAGTTCGTTCTGCTCTCACCTCCCCCGGTGCTCACCCTTGGTATTCCGAAGTTCCTCCACCATACACTGAGCCTCCTCCTGGATTCTCTCCTCCACAGTTCGTTTACCCATCCCAAAGTCCCTCATGGTGGCCAGAGAGAATCTCCGAAGGACCTTCCAACGTTCCCCATTGGCAAAGACAACACCTGTTGATGAAAACAGCAACAACATAGGTTACGAAAGATGTTAAAAGGAGGCTCTGGATCCCTCAGTACTCCCTTATCTCCCATTTCCAACTCCCCCTTACCAATTACCATTCTAAAAATCATTTATGACACCTTCAAGGTCCTTACCATATCCCTGGAATATTGGATCTATCACAGCAATTGTCCCTCTGCCGGAGAAACCATCAGCATTGTCCACCAAAGCCTCCCGGATGGCTTCTGTCCCACAGAGCATGACCACGGGCCTTGGTCCCAGATATACAGTGAACACATCGCCGTACTGGTCTCGGATCTGCCAAGCACATCACATCTATTATTGTATTAGTCTGTACCACTGTGGTTACCTCAGTTGTTTAACCACTACAATGCATAGACTAATACATGTCTCTGCCACAAAGATTGCCATTGTCCTAACCCAGACATAATAACCAGTGCCCTTGGCACACAAAAGTTCAACATTTCGGCATTTTCAAAGATGACATGTCACTGACCAACCAAGTGGAAACAGAGATAAACAAACGGGACTATATTAAAGTAAGAAGCTCCTGCACCGCAAAAGACACAATGACCAAATTACAAAGACAATCTACAGTATGGGGAAGAAGGATATTCACCCAATACCCATCCGATATGGGGTTGATATCAAGGATATACAAAGCACTGGTTGAATTCCACAAGAAAACATTCTACCCATCAAAAAATGGGGTAATGAAATGCACAGAAAGTTTCTCAAAGAAGAAATCCAAATGGCTAAAAGGCACATGAGAAAATGCTCTTCGTCACTGATAATCAGGGAGATGCAGATCAAAACAACAATGAGATATCATCTCACACCACAGAGACTGGCCCACATCCAAAAGAACAAAAGCAACTGGTGTTGGCATGGATGTGGGGAGAAAGGGACTCTCCTTCACTGCTGGTGGAAATGTCAACTGGTTCAGCCCTTTTGGAAAACAATATGAACGATTCTCAAAAATTAGAAATTGAACTCCCATTTGACCCAGCAATACCAATCCTGGGAATATATCCTGGAGAGGCAAAAAAGTATAGTTGAAATGACATCTGCACTTGTATGTTCATTGCTGCACTGTTCACAATAGCCAAAATCTGGAAAAATCCCGAGTGCCGGAGAACAGATGACTGGTTAAAGAAACTTTGGTACATCTACACAATGGAATAGTATGCAGCTGTTAGAAATGATTCAGTCATGAAATTTTCAAACAAATGGTTCTACATGGAAAGTATTATGCTAAGTGAAATGAGTCAGAAAGAGAAGGACAGACATAGAAAGGCTGCACTCATCTGGGGAATATAAAGTAACAGAATGGGAGATGAACACCCAAGAACAGCTGAGATAAGTACCAGGAGGTTCACTCCATGGCTTGGAGGCCAGCCGCATATGCTAGGGGAAAGGGCAGCTCAGATAGAGAAGGGAACACCAAGTAAAGGGTGTTTGGAGGACTCTCGCTCGGGATGCGAGATGCGTGCTAAAAGTAGACTATAGGCCAAACAAGATGGCCACTCAATACCTCTATTGCAAACCACAACACCCTAAAGGAAAGAGAGAGCAAAAGGGAATGCCCTGCCACAGACGTGGGGCGGGGTGGGGGGAATGGAGGGGGTGGGAGGGCTACTAGATTCATTGGTGGTGGAGAATGGGCACTGGTTGAGGAATGGGTACTTGATCATTGTATAACTGAAACCCAAGAATGAAAGTTTGTAAGTCTACAACTGTACCTCATGGTGTTTCACTACTACTACTACTAATATATATCTATATCTATATCTATATATAAAGAAAAAGGAGAGAAACAAGAGAAAAGAAAAAAGTTCAACGTTTTTAATATCACCCTTGTTCATAACCTTGTCTCTAGTCACATCTCTCTGACATCTCAGCTAAAGAATCAGCATCCTATGAGCCAAACAAAAGCCTGCATCTTAATGTCTTCCCTGGAGCACAATCCTGAACCATCTTTGGCAGACAGATTGAAGATATAGGACTCTGTTAAGGTGTCATGAAATCTGGACAATCACAGCATCAGACCAACCTTTAAGAATCTGTTCAGCACCACAGTCAGGAAACAGCTTCTCTGTGTTTCAGTCAACGAGGAATCACACACATGACACCATTCCCATAAAATTGCACCATGGAGCCTAGGTGTGTGATAGACTAGGTTTCTGCAATTACAGCCTTTGGTTTCTCAAAACACAGAACACATGACCATATCTTCTAAAGTGATTGGTGACTAAGCAACATCGCTATGTGAATGACAAAAATATATACATGTGTATCCAGGAAAAGTCAATTCACAGAAGCTTGTTGATGACACGCTCAGCAACACAGAGATTAAACTAGTGATGTGTTCATTCTGGGGGATAAGGTCATGGAACAATGAAACAGAACTACTGCAACCAATAATCTGAAAAATTCACAGTGATATGAAGTGTCAGCAAAAAAGTACAAAAGCATCCATGCATCAGAATTTTACTACAAGGAATACAAAACAGATACTACAAGTTACTGGGATCAGGACTAGCAGTAGGGCAGCCAGTGCAAAGAAAATGCAGGGGGCTTTGAGTCATAACAACTTTAACTACAGGAGTGTTTGAGAAAATTCACTGATGAACTCATGAATTGTGCTTTTGGGGAGCATTATTCCACATTGATAAAATAGTGATTTAAGGAGAACAAAGATATATCTCAGTGAACTGAGCACATGTTTGAACGCTGGAGTACTAGAGGTTTGAGTCCTGGCACCACATTGTCCCCTGATCATGGTCAGGTAGGTGAGCCCCTCTACCCCTGAAAAAAGAGCTAACTTAAAATCATTAGAAAGTTTAATTTAAAATGTTTTATGCAATGGGACCGGAGCAATAGTATAGCAAGTAGGGCATTTGCCTTGCTCACAACGAACCTGGGTTTGATCTTTGGCTTTCTATATGATTCTGAGCCACACCAGAAGTGATCCCTAGTGCAGAGCCAGGAGTTAGCCCTGAGCACAGCTAGGTGTGGCACTCAAACAAACAAAAATCCTTTACATTAATTTCTGAAAGACTCATCACTGCTCTCCCTGTTTTTACTCCTCTGCCACTACAACACTTGAAGTCAATGAAATCCCAAATAAACAGTGTATTAACCAATTACCCCAAACCTACTCCAAATCCCCAGTGCTTCCTTAGGGGACCATTTGGGATGCAGGGGTTGGAACCCTGGGCCAGGTGCATGGGAAAGCAAGCTGCTTACCAGCTGTGCTATTTCTCAAGCCGCTGACATGGATTTATTTGAGTGAATCCCATGTCTACTTAATATTTCCTTTTTTATTTATTTTATATATCCATCATCAATGCCTACAATATTCCACAACACACAGAAGGTGTCCTGGAAACTATTATTGAGTGACCAAGTAAATGCAGCAGTGATTCAAAGTCGTTGCTATTTGGGACTGGAGCAATAATACAGCCTTGCATATGGCAGACCCAAGTTCTGTCCTCAGCATCCCATATGGTCTCCTGAACCCTGCCAGTGGTTCCTGAGCACCACTGGTTGCGGGCCCCAAAACAAACAAAAAGAGATAAAGTCGTTGCTATTTAATGAACATTTGCTCTACACTGGGTTACAATGGAACCTTGAGTCCTGATAGCAAACTTTTGTTGTTTTGGGATCACACTCAGCTTTACGTGGGGGCTACTCCTGGTTCCGTACTCGGGGTTAACATGCATTGGGGGATTGAACCTGGGGTTCCTACATGCAAAGTCTGCACTCCAGCCATGGCGCTTTCTCCTTAGCCTGCTTACGGCAATTTAGGAGATGCACATTCTTACCAATACTGCCTCATTCTACAGTAAAGAAAATGGGCTTATTGAGAAACAGTTGGTCCCAAACATATCTCTGTTTGATTCCAAAAACATCTTACTTCTCTTCTCCATCTCCCACTATCTCCCCCTCTTTTACTCCCTTCCCCCCATCTCTTTCTCTTTGTCTCTGTCTCTCTGTCAATCTGTCTTCTACAGGATCCTTGCAGAGGCTAGGAAAAGGAGGAACTCACAAATGCCCAAGGAAATGTGTTAGGGGTAGGAGTGAATCATTTTCAGCAAATTCCCAGGGGGCCTGACAGCCCAAACTTCCTGCTGTTCTGATGTAGGAGGAACTGCTGAAGAAACATCTACACAGGCTCCTGTCTTCTCCTTGTAAAACTCCTGCTGTGGGATGAGCACAAAGGGCCTTCCCAAGGTTGAGCCTCGCCTGTCCTCACAGCTAAGAAGGTGAGAACTTGAGATCCAGAGGATCAGGTCACTGTGAAAGAAACCTGTGAAGTTACTGTCATGATGGTAGATTCCCTATGCAAAGGAAAAAACTTTCTGAGTTGACAACTAAGTGCTATACCCTTGTAGTACACCAAGAACTAGTACAACTAAAAATGATATGTACCCAGGATCTCACATTGGGGATAGAATTCTTTCTTAATTCAAAACCAAAAGGAGCACTCTCTTGTGCCAAAAGGTTAACTAGAGGGGTCAGAGAGTTAGTACAGCAGGTAAAGTGCTTTCCTTGCATGCAGCCAACCCTGGTTCAATCCCCAGAGCACCCTTAGGAGTGATCCCTCAGTGAAGATCCAGGAGTAAGCCCTGAACATTGCTGGATATGCTACCCCCACCCAACCCCCCTCCAAAAAAAAAAACAAACTAGAAAAAGAAACACAAGGACATTGGTGGAGGGAATGGAAGACTTCAGCAGTAGTGAGAGGTGATAGCAGTATGTCAGAACCATAGACTTTAACATTATTGTGAACATCTTAATGATAGCACTTGTTCTTTTAAATTGAAATAAAAATGAAAACAATCTAATCAGAGGAAAGACAAGTCCCAGATTCATAGCGGGATCACCTTGTCTGGAAGTAGAGAATGGAGAAACAAAACCATGTTGTATTTAGAGCCTGCACCCTTATTATGCAGGGGGTTAGAGTGTGTATGGGGTGGGGTGTGTTGTTAATGAAGAAGTAGATCGTGATGTATGAAATTGTGCCCACAAAACCATGCAATAAAGGCCACAGTATTAGCTAGCCTATCCCTACATTACTGCTTATCAATGAAATATCTCCACTGGGAGTTGCTTCTCATCAACCTAGCATTTTGTCACAGCCTTAGGACAGTCTTTGAAATAAGCTGTTGGAGACACTTGCTTGATTGGTGCAATGGCCCTATTTTCCCTCTCTTCTAGTTTTGGGCAGTTTCCCAGAGATAGGCTGGCAATGCAGTGTGAAATTCTACACCTGTGGATCACTCCCAAATGTAACTTCTTGCCCTCCTACCCTCACCAAGGACAATGCCTATAGGCTTCCAATTGAACAGGGACGCTTCTGGGCCGCTGCTCTGATCACCAGCCTCCTCCACATGGCTCTTAATCAACAACCACCGTACAGCCACCCCAAGCCTGGAGGGAAACCCCTGTCCTTTCCATAATTGATTCCTGTGGACCGAGAGAGGAAGTTTCCCCTGCACCCCGTCTTTCTGTGTCTCACCTTCAGGAAGGATTTGAGAAGACCTTTTCTGTCCATCTGCAAAAGGTTCCCCAAGAAGGGCAAGGGGCGGGGCCCAGGAGGGAGCCGTCCACGAGCTTTTGGGTGGCCCCTGGCCATGAGCAGCAAGAGCCCCGCGAAGACGGCCAGGAGGAGGAGGACACTGAGCTCCATGGTCCTGGTCACCTGTCTTTCTCTCCACTGCTTCCAGGAGAAGGGCTTCTTATGAGCTGCTGCTAGGCCCTGTTATGTAACTTCATCCAAACCCCGCCTCCCTCTCATCATTAACCAGTAGCCTGAACTTAGAAAAAAGTCCTAAGGGACACAAACTTCCTGTTCCAGCAGCCCAATAGCATGCTGCCTCTCTACCTTGTTCACTCCCTTTCCCTTCTTCTCTCTCCCTAGATGCTGGCAGATGACAAATTCCATGCTGTGTGCACATGCAGTTGCAAGCACACTCACATGCATACCACACTGCCTTTTTCTGTGGGTATAGATACACTTCTTTTATGTTCCAGCTTTGTGTGGACTAACTCCTGCAAGTCTTTCTCTACTTATCCTGGTCCTGTGTCTGTGCTCACATGATTTTTTTTTTCAATCTGATTGACTATTTATTTATTTATTTTTGTGAAACACCATGAGATACAGTTTTAGACTTACAAGTTTTTGTGCTTGGGTCTCAGTTATACAATGATCGAGTACCCATCTCACCACCAGTGCCCATTCTCCACCCCTACCAATCCCAGTATCCCTCCCACCCTCCCATTCCCCATCCCACCCTGCCTCTGTGGCAGGGCACTCCCTTTTGTTCTCTCCTTTTGGGTGCTGTGGTTTGCAGAAGAGGCATTGGGTGGCAATCATGTTCGGTCTAGAGTCTACTTTCAGCATGCATCTCCCATCCTGAGCGGATCTTCCCAGCACCCCTCCTGGTATTTATCACAGCTCACATGATTTTTGATTGTGAAGGGGTGTTCGCATGTCAGTGGGTTTGCTGGAGTGTGTTTCTGTGTCTCATTCTGCATGTGCTTCTGCATCTACTTTTGCATGTGTGTGGGCTTGTATGCATCTGTAAAACTTCAAGTGCAGAGGTGGGTTTGTGTGATAAGGTTCATGGGTGTCCACCTCCCAGTCTGTGCCTTTGGAGGATCAATAATCATCTGGTCCCCTTCCTTTCCTTTAATCACATACCCCAGATGGTGTTGCTAGGGAGACAGAACTGAGCAGACTTAGAGCCAGGGTAGGGGAATAGGGAGGGAGATTTGACAGGTACAGAAAGAAGATCCTTTGGCCCAACCTGCCTCAGGATTTGTCTTCACAGAACTGGACACTCTCAGGCTTGGATGCATGTCCTCCTCTCTTGCCCTCTCTCTATCTCCATGTCTCTTTCCCTGCTCTCTCTGAACTCTAGGAGCATGGAGACAGGGATCAAGGTTAACTGATCACACTGAGCACCCTTCTCTCTCCAGCTTTGCCCTGAGCTTCCCATGCACAGTCCCTGTTGGCTCAATCTCAACCTGCAGGGAACAAATATGCCAAGTCCACCTGTTCCACTTGAGGCTTCATTTCCATCACTTGGAATCCCTTGAAAGGGAGAGAGCTGGGAGGAGGGAGAATCTTTCAGATCATGTTAAGTCACCCCCCCCCCCTTGCTTAAGCCTCTCCCAGAAGCTGAGGTGCAAGACTCCTGTAGTGCAAGAGGAGGGGAACCTACACCCCTGACCTCTGCAAGGAGGCGGAGCCTGCACTTTCCTTACCTAGGGCAGGTGCCCCCATGAACTTTCTCTCCTCAGGTCCTGGCTCCTGCTCTGCTGTGGGAGCTGGCACTGCACTTGGGTCCCTTTCCAGTCCTGAAAATCTCTGAGCCTCACTTTTGGTGGATGATATTGCTGCTTTCATTCATAGATGACATAGTGAAATTGAATGTTTCACTCCAGGGACTGGAGAGATAGTACAGTGGGGAGGGCACTTGCCTTTCATAAGGCTGACCGGGGTTCAATTTCCTGCATCCAGTATGGTCCCCTGAGCCCTTCAGGAGTGATTCATGAGCACAGAGTCAGGAATTATTCTGAGCACAGCTGGATGTGGCCCAGAAACCATAAAAAAAGCTAATATAAGATCAAGTTTAAAAATTTTTTAAATACTTGTTTTAATTGAATGACAGTGAGATATAGCTACAAAGTTGTTTATGATTGGTTTTCAGTTATATAATGTTCCAACACCCGTCCCTTCACCAGTGTACATTTCCCACCACCAATGTCTCCAGTTTTCCCCTCCCCCCAATCCCCACCTCTATGGACAGGCACTTTTCTCTTTTGTTTTCTCTCTCTCTCTCTCTCTCTCTCTCTTTTTCTCTCTTTCTCTGTCTCTCTTTCCTTTTGGGCATTATGGTTTGCAATATATACACTGAAAGATTCTCATGTGTATCCCTTTACCGAATAAAACGTTTTACTCAAGGTCACACAGCAGGTTAAACCTACATTGTCCAGGTAGAGTGATCAAGTAAGACACAGCCCTTAAAGAATAGGCTAGTAATACATATTAAAATCTTAAATTTAACTTAAGTTTTAATGACAAGACTTGTCATGGAGGAGGTGAGGAGGGAGGGGTCAAATAAACAAGATCTCTGTTCAATCCTGTATCTATCTATGCTATCTGACCAACTTTAAAATCATTATTTATGTAGGGCATCTGTGACCTGATTGGTTAGTTCCACAAACACTCATTTTGTGTAACCAATATAACGTGTAACCAATCAGATAACAAAAGGCAGAGGTACATAACTTCTACAAGCTCAGGTCAGTATAGGGGTTTTAGGGGTTTTTTTGTGGGCTTTTTTGCGGGGACGGTGTTTGGGGCTTGCTTTCTCTGATGCAAATGCTGCTCTTTTTGGAATCCTACTGCTGAGGTTCCATTAAAGATGTATATTTAAAAAAAGGTGGGGGAAGGATTTCTACTGCTAGAATTTTAATATTCTAAAATGGAAAATTTTCTTATCTTTTTATGAATCTATACAGCTGTTGATTTATAATGATGCATACATGAAGCTTATGTTATGTTGCCGTGCAATGTTACTTCAATAAAAATACTTATATAAAGCTAAATAAAGAAGTCAGACTCTTTTTGTTTGCTTGTTTCTGGCTGTGCTCAGAGCTTACTTCTGTGTCTGGGTCACTCTTGGCAATGCTCAGGGGGCCAGATGTGGTGTCAGAAAACAAACTGGGGTCAGCCAAAAACATGTGCAAAGCAAGTGTCTAACCCCTACACTATCCTCCAGCCCCACTCCCCCTGCAAAAAAACTTCCCCAAACTTAAAAATATGTACATAAGAGATATGTATCTATGTGAACTATAAAAACTATAAAGCTGGAACATGGAGACATCTGGTGGTTGGTGTGCTGTTCTTGCAATCTGTCCACAGGAGCCTGGAGTCTATTTTGGGCTACTGCAGCAAGGGTTATAACTGCTCTAAGGTAAGCAGAACGAATTACCTGCCTCAGCTATTGCATTTGTCATGGCTTAGGAATGAGGCGGGTGGAGATTCTAAGATGCAATTCCCATTGTCTGAAGGAAACGGGGGGGGGGGGCAGAGAGGGGGTGGAGGGGGGCTGTGCTTGGCATTGTAACTGCCTGCAGGGGTGGGGCAAGAATGGAATGAACTGGGCCCTAGGCCTGCTACACATGATCTCACCAGTCCCATGCAATGGTCTATGGTTGTGTGGGAGACATGGGTGGCCATATCTCCCTTTAAACTGGACTGGGCACTGAACCTGAGGGTGACTGCACCTTCCCAGCTTGGTCATGCCCATGCTAGAAAATGTCACTGAAAACTGGACACCCTGTGTTAAAGGCATTGTATATGCAATATGTTACTTTTCACACTGAGGGAACAGTAGCAGAAGAAAGTTGTTGCATGTGTGAAGAGTCCCAAAAGGGTATTATTATAGGAAATATAGTGACATTAAGGTTTTTCCTCACACAAATAGTTGGTTTGGGACCTTAAGTGAGTAGATGACTGTTGGAATGCTTGTGGAGTCTGAGAAGAGTGTGTTTCCTTGAGCCCCCAGCTGACATTTTCCTTTTTAAAAATTTCCTTTTAACTTTTCCCCCACTTTATTTAAATGCCATGGTTTGCAAAGTTGTTCATGATGATTGGTTACAGGCATTCAGTATTTCAGCACCAATCCCACCACCTCTGTCGCCTTCCCTCCACCATTGTACGCATTTTCCCAACCACCTCTCAAGCCTGCCCCTGTAGCTAATCCACAATCATTTATTTTATATTGTTTGTTATCACTAAATGGCTAATGGAATGATCAAAAATACTTCAATAGAAGAAACTATGTGAAAATTGTTGTATCTCACCATGGGGACATTAAGTCCTTGTCTGAGGCTTTACTAAGCTTGTTGTTGTTCCAAGTTGAGCCTTCTGTGTTTTAATACTTTTGTTAGCCTAACTGAATTGGCTTCTATGTTACATTCCCATCCAATCTGGTCAACTCCTTCTGGGATGTTAGTACTGTAGGGTTAGGAGATATCACACGGCTGTAAATGCGGCTGCACACTTCAGAAAATCCAAAGTGTTTAACTGATCGGTCTCAGCTGGGACCAGGTATGGAGAAATTTTTGTGGCTGGTTGATCTCTTTTGAGATTTATTTATGAGTCATTGGAAGTGGACTGGTAGATGAGCTTACATGGCGGTAGCTGTGGGACATTTTGTTCTGTTTATTATTAGGAAAGTGTTGTCCAAGACTCTGACGGTGCATGTAATAAAGCATTGACCTCCCAACAACACTTTGATTTCCTTTGCACTGTCTGAAATTCCAGATTAAATGCCCCAGGGTGGACCTGTTGTCCTACAACTCTTTTTTTTTAATGCTGAAAAGGACTTTTTAAAAAAAAATTTATTAGTGAGACACCATGAGGTATAGTTGTAGACTTACAAATTTTGAGCTTGGGTTTCAATTATGCAATGATAAAATACTCATCCCTCCACCAGTGCTCATTTCCCACTACCACGGATCCCAATATCTCCCTCTCACCCCCCCGTCCCCCGATCCCACCCTGCCTCTGTGGCAGGGCATTCCCCTTTGTTCTCTCTCTCCTTTTGGGTGTTGTGGTTTGCAAAAGAGGCATTGAGTGGCAATCATGTTTGGTCTATAGTCTACTTTCTGTCCTGCAACTCTTAACCATGGGTGACACAATGCTA